CCCCGCGATGCCTGAGACCCCCTCGACCGGGGCCCGCGAACCCGATGACACGAACGCGAGGGGCCCGGAACACGGGCCCTTTTTCCAATGACATCCGAGAAGGGCTAACCCGCAGGGAATTTTTTTGTCACATCGCGCGCACCAGGCCCCCCTCGCGACAATTTTGACGTGCAGCCACCGTTTGATGCGCGGATCAAACAGCCGCGCGGCAGCGTGCGGACCCTGCACGGAAATCCGAAACGGAAGGCCCGAGGGGGCCTCGTGTCCCGCGCGCCTACAAATACGAGCGGCGCCCTGGCATTGGTGATGCGCTCTGCGTTTTTGCTGGGGAGATGCTCCCCGACGGAAGCCTCGCACCGCCACTGTCGTCAAGAGCAGTACCCCGCACAGCTGGAGCGCCATAGCTGGCATAGCCATTCTTCACCGCGCTCGTTTCCTGGCACCGACGCACCCCACATGCCCTCGCATGTCCCTCCTCTTACCAAGTCGCTGTCCACGTCATATTCGACGTCGCTTCCGCTCTCCTTTCTCGAAAGGCGCGCCCGCCACCCCACGCAGTACCCTCGCAAACGCAAAGCACACGCCCAAAGGTCAACAGAGTGCCGTCATGATTAACGCCGGGGTTCACGCTCATCTCCACTCGACAGATTCACACAGTGAGTGCGCACGCAGCCGGGACGTATGTGTGCATGTGCATGCGTGCGGGTGGGTTTTGTGACGATATGTTCGCGCAGATCGAAAGAGTTCATGTCTGCATGTGTGCGGGCGGGCGTGTGTGTGTGTTTGTGTGCGAGTGTGTGTTTGTGCGTGCTTTAATGTGTGCGTGTGTGTTAGAGTGCGTGTTCCATTGTGTTTGTGTTTGTATGAAGTGTGTGCCACACGCACGAGGCAGGATCGTGCGCATGTCTGTACCTGAGGGGCGTGTGTGTGTGGGAGCCGTGTGGCGGCGCGTGTGTGCGTGTGTGTATGTGTGTGTGTGTGTGTGTGTGTGTGCGTGTGCCTGTCTGTGCATATTTGTTCGCGTGTGTGTGTGTTCGTGCATATTGAGCGTGGGGAGATGCGCACGAACGTACGCGGTCAGGGATGAATGACATGGTTTGCACTTCGATTCCCCGAATGGCGCGCGTGTGTGGATGTGTGAGGAAAGTATTAAAAACGATTGTGCTCGTGTTGTGCTCAACCTCATCTTCAACACTTGCCACACTCGATTGATCCTGATTGATCCCAATGTCATGTCCATCGATCTTCCCAATGGATGATCAATCGAAACACGCGGTGGCAATGTTGATACAGCGAACGCATCCATCGACCAATCGCGAAACACGATGAGATCACTCGTGATCAGATGATTGATCGTGTCTGCCGTGTTGACGTTATCACTGTGTGTGTGTTGTTCTTTCTGTCGTGTGTTTTCAGATCACTCGTGATCGGAGGTTCGATTAGATCCATGACAATATGTACACCACACACTTGACGAACCGACCCATCACCAAACACAAGCCGACCACTCGCGATCGGGTGATAGATGTTGTTTGCTGCCCCAACAACATCGCCCCTAATCTGCCCAACGGATGATTAACCAATGCACGAGGCGACAATGTCGGGATCGCAAACGCATCCAACCGACCAATCACGAAACGGCAATAGATTACTTGCAATCGGACGATTGATCGTGTGTGCTGCACCGAAGATGTCGCCGCTTTTGTGTTTCGATCGTCTCAATGGCAAAACCAAAACACACGCGGCGATGTGCATGTGTGTGTGTGCGTGCGTGTGCGTGTGTGTGTTGTATGAGTACCATAACCTGTTTTCTGTTCCGCCAGGCGATGTGCGTGTGCGTGTTTCTGTGCGTCGGCGTGTGCGAGATGCAACTCGTCGGCGAGCGACCTGTTTATCTAACTACCTGATAGTCATCGACCGAACAGTCGATTGGTCAGGAAATCTGCCTGGATCAACTGATTGATCGACCGCTCTGTTGGCGATTGCTCGACCGGTTGATCAACCACCACACCAACCGCCAACCGAGCAGCCGATCAATCAGTTGATCCTGGCAGATTTCATGACCAATCGACTGTTCTGTGCACATTGATTGCGGAGAATCCTCAAGGCAAATGATCATATGAACGATCGAAACCCGCGAACGAATCACACAACCGGTCGGAAAAACGTCGATCCCGATCCACGAACGAATCACACAACCGATCACAATTTTGTTGCACATCGAACCTCGTATAACATCAAACTTGGCTCCACATCAAACCTCGGCGGGCGTCAAACCTCGTCGGACATCGAACTTTGGAGGACGTTGGGTCATCGACACTTGACGGTCACTGAACGGCGAACGTTGAGCAGCCACCACCCCACGCATCGCCGACACAGTCCTCGTGATTGGAACGTGGCCGTTCCAATCCGCCAGCACGAACTTGGCAGTACCAACCGAACTGATCGCGCAATCAAACACTGGAAGAAGTTAGGATTCCGGCGAGCTTGTGCAGCTGTTCGAACACGCTTAGCAACCCCGGACTGCAACCATTGCCGTGGACGTGTAAAAATTTGCAGCTCGCCGGGATCCGAACTTCAAGAAATTGTTGGACGGCGAGTTTGGCAGACAAGTGTGTCTCTCCCATGCAATTTCGCTAGTTCGGACCCCGACGAACTTTAGCTTTCCGCCTTTCGCAAGACATGTTTGTGGCTCGCCCGCTGGCCTGTGGATCCGAACCTCGCTTGCACGGTTCCTTGCACAATCGTCAAGTCCGGACCTCGGCGAACTTCGGATTCGTGAAAATGCGAAGTCCGCCGGGATCCGGACTTCTCCTTCACTGTTCCTCACACAGACGTCAAGTTCAGACCCCGACGAACTTCGCTTTTCGCATTGTGTGGGTTCAGAATGCGGACTTTCTAGGGTTCGGATCCAGATTGGCACAACTACGGATTCGAAAAAATGTGAAGTCCGCCGGGATCCGAACTTCTCGCGCACGGCTCCTCGTTCAATCGCCGAGTTCGTCGGTTGTTTCTCTCCCGCGCAGTTTCGCCAAGTTCGGATCCCGGCGAACAATAGGTTCCCGCCTTACGCCAGACATTTTTGCGGCTCGCTTGCCCTCCCGTGGATCCGAACCTCGCGTGCCCGGTTCCTCGCACGTTTGCCAAGTTCGAAACCCAACGGACTTTGGATTCATGAAAATGCAAAGTCCATTGGGATCCGAATTTCTCGTGAACGGTTCCTCGTGCACTCGTCAAGTTCGGACCCCGGCGAACTTCGCTTCCGGCATGGTGTGGGTTCTGACTGTGGGCTTTCTCGCGCCCGGTGGTTTGCCACAACTTTTGTTTCGCAAAAATGCGAAGTCCGTCGGGATCGGAACTTCTCGTGCACGGTTCCTCGTCCCTTCGTCGAGTTCGCCGGCTGTGTCTCTCCCGTGCGATTTCGCCAAGTTCGGACCCCGACGAACTTGAGATCTCCTCCTTTCGCAATTCATGTTTGCGGCCCACCGGCTGGGCCACGCATCCAAACCTGCCGTGCACGGTTCCTCGGACAGTCGTCAATTCCGAATCCCGACGAACTTCCGATTCAATAGAATGCGAAGTCCGCTGGGATCCGAACTTCTCGTGCAAGGTTCCTTGTACGGTCGTCAAGTTCGGACCCAGGCGTACTTCAATTTTCAGGTGGTGTGGGTTCTGACTGTGGAGTTTCTAGCGACCGGTGGATTGCCACGACTTCGGATTCGAAAAAACGTGAAGTCCGCCGGGATCTGAACTTCAAGAAAGTTTGGGATGGCGAGTTTGAGAGACACCTTTGCCTCTCCCGCGCAGTCTCGCCAAGTTCGGATCACGACGAACATGAGGTTCCCACCTCTCGTGGGACATGTTTGCGGCTGGCCAGGCGGCCGGCAGATGTGAACACCAACCAAGTCGACCACCCGAAATCTCATCTTCAAGCATGCGCTCCATCTAATGCCATAGGTCACAGATCGCGAAACAGAGTCAATTCACATTCTGTACTATGATATCAATCAACACTGATCATTTACAGTTACAATGGTTAGCAGGATTGATTCTGTGATGCAGAATCCGAAGAGTGGAGATCAAGGTCAGCGACCTTTCAATGCTGGTCCTGGCCAAGTTCATGTTACTGTACATTACAGTAACATACATGATGGTAGAGGCCACTCGCCAGAGAGAGCTTGTGAAAGTAAGTAGACAATGGATTAGTAAGCAACTGTAATCGCCATCATCTTGGTCTGAGGGGCGATTACGTATGACACTCACTCTTTCTTTTATTTTCTTTTCTTCGAGCCTGAATCGGACTAAGATAGAGTCCTTTTAAATCTGTCAAAGGTTTAAAGACGTGAGTTGGGTTGTCTAGGCTCAAATAACGACGTGTTTACGAGTATCTTCGTGCCCGTGTGTGTCGTTTGGCATGTGCGCGTGGTGTGTAGGGTGCGTGATGGAGGCGACCTTCTCGACACCACGAATCGTGGAGCCGATCTTCTCGACACCACAGACCATGAGTCCCGAGATGCACACTCGCTTGGCAAAACCGTTTCCTCCTTGCACGAGATCAGTGCGGTATTTTAACGGTGTAACTACGATCCATAGAGCGACCGCAGAGGACTTCGACGAGGACCCCTGGATGACCGTCGTCCCGTGCCTGGAGGGGCATATTGACGAGTGGTGCGATCGGAATTGGGCCACGATGGAGAGTCGTTGTTCTTGGGCAAGCCAGTACAAGTTCGCCAACATGTTGGAGTTCGGGAACCTCATCCCGATGTCTGACGCTGTCCTCGGACACAAGTTCCTGAACCATATGCGCAGAGCGCTGGGCTGCATTAGCCGCCATTTCAGCCGCCTCGAGTGCCACTACGTCAGGTCATCGCCAAAAACTTGGGGAGGCCCGCGGAAACAACAGTTGGTGGACTGCGCTCGCCACTGCTCATTCCTAGAGCAGTACCCGCTCCGGTGCCCCGGGAATTCTCCACAAGCTGTGTCGTACTGTTGTGTGCGATTGACTGTGTCCGGGTCTGATTTCGCCAGAGTTCTATGTGTCGCTGCTTCGAACAAGAGCAGGAAACTCGTCGATGCAGTTGTGCTTGTATCATGCAACGAGGTGGTGATTGAGGGGTCCAAATTCGTGCCGACGCGCGGGCCTGAACGTGTGGATGGGTGGCGTGATTTGGTTATAGCAGAGCGGGTCCAAAACTTTTCGTTGCATCGTGAGATCGAGGAGAAAGTGTGCGATATACGGGACTGTATAGGGAATTCCTTAGCATGACTGGAAGTGTTTGTTAGGATGAGATACATGTCCGTCTTTTCCGAGAGGGCATCGATAGACGAACCGCAGATCCACGTATACGGATCATCAATGAATGCTTTGTATGGCTTCGGTTCACGACGTCGTCCCAGGGGAACCCCGAATGTCGACACGTCTGAACTGGTAGTCAGTCCTGGTGTTTGAGGGAAAAGAAGGGAGAGGTATGAGATGCTGTTTTGCTGCCTATAATATTAGATTTGTGGCAGTGGCGGGAGGCGTTATGGGCAACAGTTGCTAGTAGACGCTACACCGCGCACTTGTCGTGCAAATCCCTGATCGTCGTTCAGTTCAACAACTAGCGAAAATCATGTTGGAGGTCTATCTCTGACACCGTCTCCTGCACTGTCGCACCCCGGCGAAGTTCGGATCCCGACGAACTTCGCGTTTTGGGTTGTGCGTTGATTTGTCTTCGGCACTGTTGGCATCGGGCGGGCCTCAATAACCACCGGGCACCACGGGCACGGTCTTGCTTGAGGCTGCAGGCCCGTCGCCAACCAAACTTCACAAACACTGTGCGTGTTCGGTTGTCGCCCGACCACCATCGACATGTGCCAAACAGTCGATCATTGTCATTACGAAATGCCAAAAGCACTCTTAGGGATCCCAGTCGCATAGTTTGACGCTGGCCGAATAATTCTGAAGTTCTCCCTCCAACACCTTGCTCGGACCCCAACTTGCGTCTAACCTCGTACGTGATCCAGTATTTCTCTCTATGTGTCTTTCTCGCAGCGTCCTGGAGTTCGGATCCCAGCGAAATTTCTGTGACGCCTGTCTGTTGGACAGACACTGGTCTTCCTGATCCCCCGTGGATTGCGACAACAGCTCCTGTCCGCCCTGCTCCACACGTTTCGTTCTGCCCCACCAGGGACCCATACAATGTTGTCACGGCTGCTGCGCATATCAGAAGAAGTTCGGATTTCGGCGAACTTATCCTTCTCAACCGGCCTCTCATGTTCGTGTGGCATTCCCAGGTCATGGTTGAGTCCACGGATCGTGTGTCTCTGACGCCGTCTCTGCCTGTCGCATCGTCCTGAAGTTCGGATCCCGACGAACTTCACTTTTCGGGAGGTGCGTTAGTTTGTCTTCGGACATGTCCGTCCGATGATTCGCACAACCCGCCCGACGACGGGGAGAGTACGTCTCCGACTTCTGGTTTTAATCAAATGCAGTTGCAGAGTGTGTTCGCTCGAGCACGGTTATGGAACGCCGACTACATGGGCTGGCTGTTTCTCTCTTTCTTTCGCACCATCTTTTAGTCGGGACCCAGGCGGACTTCACGTTCTAGTCTGTCCGGGTTCCGAGTGCTAGGCGGAGGACACTGCACCGGCCAACGCGAGCTTCGAACATGACCTCCCGTTCATTACCCATGTGGTCGGCATCTGTGTTTCGGAAATACCGATGTGGTTGTCGCCTGGCCGCATGACGTGTGTCCCCTTTTAAAATTGATCTCGTTGCAGGTAAGAAGTCGGTCTCTAACGCGCAGCCCTTTGGTTCGGATCCCGGTGAACTTCTCGATTTTCCCTATGCGTTGGTCTGTCTTCGTTCTTCCGGTGTGTCGTCTGCCGCATAAACGGCGCTTGATCCCCTACACTGCCTCTTGGCCTCGTGCACTATTGAAATTTGAATCCCGGCGAACTACCCATTCTAGCCGTTCCGAAGTTGGGACCCGGGGTGTCTTTGTGTGCGGATTTCGCTGCGCAAGAGCCTGCATTGCAGTGTGCCAACGACTGTTCTGTTCCTGATGCGTTTTCCCAAACGTTGACTGCATGGTGCGTTGTATGATTTGGGTTGTCGTTTGCAGAGAGGATGTCTTCTTCAAAGGGCGAGGTGGAGCCAACGGGGACCTCCGGGAAGGCATTAGGAAAAGATTCCACGAGGCCGTCGTCTACTGCCACGAAAGGGTGGTCGAACCATGCGAAGTCGAAATGGTTCATCGACTGCTGCTGTGGAGACGCTTCCAACCCCACTGCGCAGCCATGTGGTCCTGTCATCTTCGTCGATGACGGCAGAAGGCGTCGAGTGCTTGGGGCCGTCTTGGGGTGGGAGGACGCGAAGGGGGGCCGCCGACATTTCCGTATGGAAAAGGTTTATGGCTCCAAGGGCAACGTCGTTGCCAATTCGAAAGGGGTGTTGTTGGACCTCGAATTGTGTGAGGGGTTCGGAGCGGGTGCTGTGAACACCCCGTTCTACAGAGAACTCGTTCTCGGGGGTGGTTTTGTTTTGGCGCGTGAATTTTTCGACATGTTGGAGGACAAGGGCATCGTTCTCGACATCCCCTGCGACGTCAGCCCCTTCTTGGAGCTCTCGTTGCCGTTCAGGCTGTGCGGCAGTTGCGAGTCAAGCGGGGTGGCGGCGGAGGGCGGTGAGCTGGGTTCTGGTCCAGCTACTCAGCTGCACCGTGGTGAGAGCCGGGGACAGTTCGACGACAACGAGGACGAGGGGCCTGCAGCGCCGTTGAGGGACACGCAGCGGTCTCTGTTGTCTATTCTAGGGGTCGACATTGGCGATCCGGTTCAACGGGAGAGTGCGAAACATACAGGAAAGCTGGCAGCCTCTTCGGAGGTCGACTTGGAGGCGAGCGAGGGCCAGAGTGTGGATGAGGTAACCGCGGGCGCCCTGGGCACGCAAGGCACTCCGCAAAAGAGGAGGGGGGATCGCACAGACGAGTTCGTCGGTTCTACGAAGAAGTTGAAGAGCAAGGCCCCTAGGACTGCGGGAGAGAAACGCAAGCGGACCGAGGGGGAGCAGGGCCGGCAGGTTGCCAAACGACCGGCTTCGAAACAGAAACAGCCTGCGTCTGGAACATCTTCTCCACCGACGGAAAGGCCTCCAATCGACGTCGATGCCGGGTACTTCCTCGAGTACAAAGACGACGTTCGGACAAAGAGGGAGTTCGAGGTTAGCCCTGCGCAGGTCGTCGACCTCGGAGAGTGGGAGGACCTGTACAACCAGCGGTCCTTGGATCCCGTGCTCGTGGAAGGAATCAAAGAAGCGATGCGGTTGGCGTTCGAAAACAAAGCGCAGTTTTACGATTTGCCTACCCTGAAGCTGGCACCGCTGAGGCTTGATAAACCGACTCTGGGGACCAAGGCAGAACGTCTGAGGCCGGAGGATTGAAGGGATGAGCTGGCGGTGCGATACTACTACTACGCGGTGTGTGGGCAGCACAACGCGGCTGCAGTGAGGTCGCTAATCGGCAGCGAGGTGGCCAGGAAATACAATTTCGAGCGGTGGCTTGCACGAATGCTCTACTTTTCGGACGACGACTTCGAAGGGTACTTCCTTGTCAGTTCCCAGGACAACAAGAAGGACCTGAAGGCGCCCCCGAGACAGCTGAAGCTGTCAATGAAAGTCATTAGGTGGCAGTGGAAGCGCGACGGGTGCCCGCGTGCAGTTATGGGAAACCCCAGCGGAAAACAGGCTCAGGTCCGAAAGTGGCGTGAATTCTGTGAAGTTGCGCTCAATATGACGCCGCACAACAACTTGTGGACGCTGGCAGATCAGAAGGGCGACGACGCCATCAGGAAGCAAGGCGCTGCCCTGCGTTCCTATTTCCCGCTGGCGATGGCAGGGGAGAACGTATGGAAACTGGCCGTCAAGTTTTTCGAGAAATGGGAAACCGGTAGATTGCTCGGCCACGACGGTGCAAAGTGGATCATGCGGAAGAAGAAGGTCAAAAATGTGAAGCCCGGGGTTGCCTACGTCGAGAACGAGAAGACGGGCAGGAAAGAGGTCGTGTACAAAGTCCCTGTTGACCCGCCGACAAAGAAAGGCAAAAAGGAGAAAGGGGAGGGCGACTGGTTCGTGCAAGTACCTGAGCCAGACGCACATTGTTGGAAAGCGATGGAGTCGCCGACCGACAACAAGAAGTGCCGCATCCTGAAGAAGGTGCTCGCTTGCGAGGTGGTTTGGGTCCAGGCCGGCTCCGCGGCGTTGGCGAAGCTCGGGAAGCTGAGCGTCCAGGACATGGTTCATTTGGTGAAGTGCGACCGGGTGCTGGTGCGTCTATGGAACTACTACCAGTTCAAGCACGAGAAGAGGCCGGACGCGGATTGGAGCCAGAGGTGCCCGTTCCTGAAAACAAGGTCCGCAATTTTCAAACAGTTTGAGAGTCGTGGTTTGGATGTAGAGTTGTGGGACGGGAGCAAGAAATACGTCGTTGACTCCTCGTTGTTCAAGGACTGCCCACCTTACATGGGCTGCGACGACGACCAATCGATCGAGGTGACGGAGAAGTTGGCCGGTCACAAGAAGTTGTCCGTCGACTGGAGGAATAAGGTCCTGTCCGTGTTGAATGGCAGTAGACTGAAGAGTCGCGAGATCGCTCTTGCCGAAGGAATTGTGCACATAAAATGGAAAGACACGGGCGACGTGACATTCATCGCGCCATTCGGCAACGACCCCTTGGAGGCAGACATAAGGTGTGCGGAGGTGAAGGAGGCGGTGGTTGCCACAAAGAGTCACACGTTCGTCCTCGATCTCTGCGAACCGGTGGACCTGAAGTTGTGGAAACCGCAAGCGTTCGACACTCTGGATTCCCAGCTTCTGACGTGGTGTCCGTCGCATTGGACGCTTGTCGTTTTCGTCCCGCAGCAGCAGAACCTCTCGTTTCTGGCCAGCATGAGCCACCTTTCTTTCGTGAAGCTGCTGGAAGGGAAGTGGGTGAGGAGGAGTCAACAGAAGAAAAGCTTCTCCGTCGGGAATAATTTGTACACGAAAGAAGACCGGATGTACATACTCTTCAAAGACGACGATTTGCGCGCTAACACGTCCGTCGTCTACGAGGGAAAACTGCCGGCTGCCGCCGCTGCTGCAGTGCGGCTGCCGCAGAAGGTTACGCAAACGGATGTGTCCGACATCCCGTTCAACCCTTGCGATTGGTCGCATATCTCGCCTACGCGTCGGGGCAGTGTGTACGGGGACATGGAACGCAACCCCACGCAATTCATTAATCTTCTCGAGTCCGTCACCAAGAAGGGGGAGGGAGTAGTTTTTCTCGGGAAGCCACACCCGCGATCTGTGTGGGAACTGCTTAAGGCAGGACGGCACATCATCGCAATGGAAGGGAACTCCGAGCTCTTGCAATTTACAATTGATCTCGTCAAAAGCGAGGTCAATTCGGGTGCCCACATTTGCGAGTTCATGGTTGTCAACGAGTCTCGCCCTTGTGCGTGGAACAACAAGACGGACATGTTGTTCAAGTTGAGTGCGAGGAAGCGGAACAAGATATACGACTTCTTATTCCTGCAAACGCGGCCCAAGAGAGACACTGACGCCGAGTACGTGCGCCGCAAGGACCACATGTTCACGCTGCTCGACAACTACCATGGCGCCTCCCGCATGAACGCAAAGACCTTCCTCGAGAGGTTGCAGTCCCTGTACTTCGTGGAGTCAGAGGAGGAGTTGACGTTCGGCAGTTACTCTTCCTTGATCTCCACGGAAGACGAGGCATCGAGTTCGACGCGACCGCGAACGAGGAGGGCAGCGACACTGAAAGCCTCGACCTGCAGTACGACCCGCATCCCGGGCAGCACACAACAGGGTCGTCCTCGGCAAGTCCGTCAACAAGACCGATGGTGAAACCGCCGCCTGGCACTACCCCGATGAAGTTGCTGCAGAGACTGCAGGCTCTGGCCTCCGACCACCGCACACTGCGTCCTGGGTGTGACATCCCGCCCGACCATCTGTCTTGGAAGGATGACAACATTCACTTCATGCCTGAGCCTCAAAGTCGTTCTTCGGAGGTGGACTGGGGCTATGACATGATTTTACACCCAGGAGTCATCCAGCCGGCGATCCAAAAGGGTGAGTGGATCATGGTCGTCGCTGTCCCGGACGGAGGATGGACGCCCCTTCCTCGCGGGTCGAAGTCTGACTTCCTCGACGTCGCTAGAATTGCGGTCCTCCTAAAAGTGAGGGTCGAGAATGACTCGTTTGCACCCGACGACATGTCCGTCATTTCCAAACGAGGTTCGTGTTGCTGTCAGCCTGGCTAAGCCGAGTGTCCGTATAGACGTCGAAGAAGTTATCAATGGCATCCTGGGCGACCACCACATGTCCGCGCAGCCGTCCTCGACGCCTGATGTCGACGACCCTCGCAACGTCAAATGTTTCGCGGTATCTGTCGTGGCTTTCTCGCCCACGAACTCTCCGATACTGCCGCCGACCATAGCCAGCGGACATGAAGGCGAGATCGGGGGACGACAACATGTCACGCCTCCGAAAAAATTTGTGGTCGGCACTCAAGCTATCGACGTGCTGGCCTTGCCCGCGTCAACTTCACCGATGAAGGAGCGGAGAGACAAACCAGCTGGTAAGCAGTGACAAACGCCACTCTGTCTGCGCGCCAGTGACCGCAGTGTATGTTGATGCGGGGAGTTCCTTATGTCGGCATACTACAGCCACCACTCCTTCAAACTTCCAAGAACATGAGAACGACCATCCTGTGAATCGGCCAGGTCGCTGGTCCTGTGCAGGGCATACGAGACAAAAACATGTGTGTTTTTGTTGAAGCGTTCCCTCACATGATGGTAGGATGGTGTTTCTTTTTCGGAATGAGTGGTGGTTTTAGTCCGCCGGGATCCGCACTTCCAAGGCCGATGCGTAATGCGGTTAATCTAAGTCCGTCGGGATCCAGACTTCAGAAATGTTTTGCCTCCGCGTTTGTGGCTTATTGAGGTTTTCCCTCCTAAGGGGCGGGGGTGGCTAGGCCGAACGCACTACTCCTTTTCTTTTCCAGCAGGGCTTGCGCGGAAGTATTCTGTATCTCTCTCACGACTAAACAGGGTTTCGTAATTAGATAGGTTCTACGTTTTTTGCATTTCGTGATACTTAAATTGTCGTTTTCGTCGGATTCTTCTTGGAGTGCGTATATTAATTTTTCCGTTTTCTCTTCCTTCGGTTGTACAAGGGTTAGGGTCTTCTCCCTGGATTGGAAAAAGTCCGCCGGGATCCAGAGTTCTATGATATTTAGCTTCCGCTTCTGTCACTTGTGGCTCACGAGGAAGTTCTCTCTCTCGCACTCTCATGACAAAACGACGTTCTGTGATTGCATACGTCCTGCGTCTTTTAGATTTCGTGGTTCTTTAATTGTCCTTTCGTCGGGTTCTTCTTCGGAAACGTGTATTCATTTCCCGTTTTGTCTTTCTTCTGTTGTACAGGGGCAGGGTCGTCTCGAACATGGAGGCCCTCGAAATATCCGGAACACATATTGCGGACAGTCCCCAGGTTGACGACAAAACACAAGGACATGTTAAAGGCGTCAGGGGTTGACGTCAAAATCGGGAAGAAGGAGCATGCCATTGCAATTGACGAGTGTCTTTCCCTTCTGCCCCCAGAGAAAGGGACATATCCACGATCTATGACTAGGGGTCAAGCCATGTATGAGAAATACTTAGCTACTCGTCGTGCGATGAAGGAGAATCCTTAGAGTTCCGTTTCTCACTTCCCCCCTCGTCCTTTGCTCGATGTTGTGCAGTGCGGGCCACAACACCTGGAACAGCAGTGACTGCGATTGCAAGTTTGCGGGTTTTGGACGACATTGAACGAGGCTTGGTGCCACCTAACACTGTTCTCTCGACCCTCGACGATGGTCAGTTGCGAATTGCAACGAAGGATATTCTCACCCTCTCACTTACCGATGGCAGGGTGAATGATGAGGTGGTCAATTTTTACATGGCGCTATTGGGAACGACCAAATATGGGATACGTGATATCCCATCAGGCCTTCCAGTCTTCAACTTTAATTCTTTCTTCTTAAGTAAACTGCAACTTCAAGGACACGGCGGGGTGGAAAGATGGGCTAAGAACGTGGATCTGCTTTAATATGATATTATCTTTGTTCCAGTCCACAAAGATAATGATCACTGGATCCTCCTTTCCCTGAACTTGAGAGATAATGTTCTTGAGATTTTCGATTCTTTGCCTCACGTTGTAGCCGATTCTAGTTCTTACCTTAGTGTTTTCGAGTTGATCGTACACCATTTGGAATGTCAAACATCGCATGGGCGGTCGTGTAGGAGTTGGAGGTCGGTGGCAAGAAATGTTATTATAGAGGGAGTTCCAAGACAAGTGGATGGAGTTAGTTGCGGGGTGTTTATGTTGATGTTTGCGACGCTGTTGCAACGTGGCGATCGACCGCCTTTCAGGTTCTCTTGTAAAAATATTCCGCATATTAGACGACAATTGGCATCATGTATCTTGGAATGCCGTTGTCTTTGATGGATTCGATTGATTTGCAAACTTCTGTTTCAGAATATTTCATATTTTAACTGTCGCTTTCACAACAACATTACTTTCTTTTGGTGTTGCGAGTTTGAGTTGTCTTTGGTATGTTGACTGCCAGTCTGGCGTCGCGTGTTGGCTTTGGAATCTCTGTGAGGTCCGACTCGTTTGTCGTGCCATTAAATTCGTCTCATTGCAGTCCTCGTTTCAAATTGTGTCCAGGTCATTCAAAGTTATGCATATAATTCACCTCGAAATGATATTCCTGTGTGTGGTGCGACATAACGAATTGGAGTGTGGATGTGAGACAAATGTCGGCGAGTGTGTGAGTGTGAGGTTTGTTATGCAAAGAGTCAAAGATCACTGACATCACGTCTCTGTGTGCTTAGACAATCATATACTTGTGACCGCCTGAATTGCATGTCATCGACAATTTTGCGTTCGTGCCCGGGAAAAAGAAATTGTATGTCAAAAATCACTGTTTGTGCTTCGACTTCTACTGTAATTGTTACATTGTTCAAAGCATACATGTCGAACAAGGATGCAATCATGACACCTTGCTCATCACAATTGTAAACAAGTGTGGATCTCATCACATTTCTGCACATCCGGCAAGATGGTGGGCGTATTTTACGGATACTACCTATTCTGAAGAAGTCTGAATCTCTACAACATTCACACAACCGCATCGGGCGAGATGATTGTCATGCATGTACAACTCACACATAACCGAAATAAATGTCTTATCCAACAAGGATTCAATCATGACACCTTGCTCATCACATTTACGAACTTGAAGTTTGACAAGTGTGGCTTCCGACACACTATCACACAGGCATCCTGGATGGGCGTGCCTGTCGCTACTCTACGTCTTCTTATATAATTATCCGAAGGATCCTAGCACACTTCCGCACAGGGTTACCTGATGCGTGTGCCTATCGTTATTCGTTTATAAAGTCTTACAAGTATGGATCCCAACACACTTCCGCACAAGATTCCCAACACATTTTTGAAGTTCAACAAGTAAGGATACCAACACACTTCCGCACAGGGTTCCCTGATGGTTGTGCCTATCGTTATTCATTTATGAAGTTTAACAAGTAAGGATCCCAGCACACTTCCGCACAGGATTCCCAGCAGTGCCACGTTTTTCAGCAAGTAAGGATCTCGGCACACTCCCCCACAAGGTTCCTGTGCGGCGTGCCTGACATGTACGGGTCTGAACACGCTTCCTCATTTGGGATATCATTTATAAAGTTTCACAAGTACGGATCTCAACACACTTCTGCATATGCTTAAGCCCTGGATGGGCGTGCCTACGTTGCTTGGAATGCAGCCAAAAATGAATTCGTTAGAAAGAGGACACAATATAATGTCTTATTTTAATGAATAACATGTTAACCGCTTTTGTCCTGTTCGAGGGCACATGGCAGTGGATCCGGTGTCCCATGGGAATTTGCAACGTCCCTGCAACGTTCCAGCGGATCATGAATATGGCCTTCGCCGAGTTCATTAAGAAAACCGTTTGACACAGCCGTTGATAATTTTTTGTGTGATTGTGTACATAGATGACATTTTGGTCTTTTCCAAAACCTATGAATACCATGTGGAACATATCGAATGGGTGTTGCATGCGTTTAAAGATGCGGGGTTCAAAGTGGCTCTGGGAAAAAGCGAGTTTTTTCTGTCCGGAATTTCCTTTTCGGGGTACATCGTCATAATCGAGGGACTGAAACCTGATCCCAGGAAGGTAGCAGCGGTCCGAGAAGCCCCGGCCCCGGTCACGCTCACTCAGGTTCGAGCCTTCCTAGGGTTGGCTTCTTATTATCGATGCTTCATTTGGGGCTTTGCCTGCCTCGCCAAGCCGCTGATGAACCTGCTGAAGAAGGAGGTGCAGCTGATCTGGACGCCGGAATGCGAGGCGACTTTTCAAGCACGCAAGGAGGCTCTGACGTCGGCGCCCGTGTTGGCGCGTCCCGGTCCGACAGGACAGTTTGCGCTACATACCGATTGGCAGCCGCAGGCGATATCGGCGGTGCCGACTCAGCAGGGAACGGATGGAAGGGATCACGTCATCGAGTATGCGTCGAAAACGCTAAGCCAGGCGTAGTCAAACTACGAGGCGTGCAAGGGTGAGTGCTTGGCGGTGGTGTGGGGGGTTCAGCACTTTCGACCGTATCTGTACAGCCAGAAGTTCGTGCTCGTGACGGATCATCAGCCATTGCTGTCGTTGCAGAACAACACGGACTACACGGGTACCTTGGGAAGGTGGGCGGTGAGATTGCAGGACTACGACTTCGACATCCGCCACCGCGCCACCAGGCAGCACGGGAACGCCGACGGTCTGACGCGCCTTCAGCCGCCGAACAAGAGTCCCGCGAA